TATTTTGTATTTTTATATTTTACCACTTATGGCCTTGCACGGCCTTGATGAAAAACACCCTTGGGTGATCAAGTTTTTCCGTGTTTAAATAAAGTAATTATTATTATTATTATTATTATTATTATTATACAGATTTTTGAATATTTAAAAACTGGGGGAAAGGGGGTGTAACCACCCTTTTTTCACCTTTTTCCCCCCAGTTTTTAAATATTCAAAAATCTGTATCTCTTGGAATAGGCCTCTATATTATAGTAAGAGGCATGGCCCTAGTCTAGGCCTATAATATAGTAAAATTCTGTATAAGTAGTCATATGATTACAGGTTTACATTGTACCTTTAACAATCACATTTTTTTTACATTGAAAATTAAAAAATAAATAAATAAAAAAAAATTAACTTAAGGATTTTAAAATATTTCAAACCTGCAATAAAATTGTGACACTATCGCATTATTTGTGTTTTAAATTACCTTTATTTATTTATTTTTCTTTTTTTTTTTTGAAGCGTTTTTTTTTATTACAGGTTTGAAATATTTTAAAATCCTTAAGTTAATTTTTTTTTATTTAAAAACGATTCAAAAAAAAAAAAGAAAAATAAATAAATAAAGGTAATTTAAAACACAAATAATGCGATAGTGTCACAATTTTATTGCACAATTCTTGCACTTAGACGTTTTTTGGGGCAAGATATCTTATTATTTAGTAGCTTAGCCCTTTCAAAAACTGCATAACTGTAATCAGAACAAAATGTTGTCCTAGGATGAAAGGTTTCATGGCTCTAGACAGTACACGCATAATATTACGCTCATTTGAAATGAAAAGTGACATAATTTTATTCCTCAATTCTTCCACTTCGGCCATTTTTGGGTCATAATATCTAATTAAACACTGTGTCCCTTAACGAACTGCATGCTTGCAATAAGCACATTAAGTTGTTTTAGAATTATAAGTTTCAAGGCTCTAGGCAGATTGCTGTTAATATATTTATCATTATTCAAAAATTAATGATGTCACATTTACGCAGATATTGTCAAAAATAAAATATATCCTTTTATTTCTTAACGAACTGCATGCTTGCGATAAGCACATAAAGTTGTTTTATAATTATAAGTTTCAAGGCTCTAGGCAGATAGCTGTTAATATATTTATCAATATCATTATCGATATTGTCAAAAATTTAAAAGTACACCCTTTTTTAAATCGCTTTTTAAACATGAAGGGGTAAAGACACTAAACTGATATTTAGAACATGATCATATATAAATTAATTTATGGTGCGAGTATTAATGACAAGATTACTTACCCACAGGGTCAAAGGTCACCATGAAAATGAGGCATTTTATGTTTTTTTTCTCCTTGATGACCTTGTGACCTACGATTACTCCCTAAAATGATAAGTGGAATTTTTTGTGGTTAAACATTTTCAACTATATATTAATAATTTATTGCATAAGAACCATTTAATAACTGATTTAGGTATTTTTTGCATTTCAGTTCCATTATTTGTAACCTGTAATTCTATCTGTAATACTGTTTTATATTATCTTTTCCCCAGTTTTAAAGTATGACTGATATTAATCTTCAAAGTGATCTTGATCGGTTGCGTGTTTGGTCGCAAAAATAGGAACTAGATTTGAATCAATGTAAATGTAAAATTTTAAGCATCTCTCAAGAAAATACCTATTATTTTTTACTATTCTGTTAATAATAATAATAGTAATATTAACAACAACAATAGTAATAATAATAATAACACTAATGATAATAGTGTTGGTAATAATGATAATCCTGTTGTAAACAACAATAATAATGATAATTATAATATATTGAGAGTTTTCACTCAAAAGATCCGAGAGTTTATATAGACTCTAAACTTAATTTGTCCATTTATTTTTAATGAAACATTAAAAAAGGCTAATCGAATGTTAGTACTTATGTGGAGAAACTGTAAATATCTTATATCCTGAAACTAAATTTTCACTACAGATTAAACCTTAATTAGACCTTGATTTTAGCTTAGTTATCAATTAATATTGTTCATGTTAATCGCATTCAAAGATTTCATTAACCTTTTTTAGTAAAATTCTGTATAAGTAGTCATATAATTACAGGTTTACATTGTACCTCTAACGGTCGCATTTTTTTTTTTTTTTAAATATTTAAAAATAAATAAAAAAATTAAAAAAATAAACTTAAGGATTTTAAATCCAAACCTGTACGCTTAAAAAGAAAAAAAAAATATTAAAAAACAAAGTTAACACTTAAAACACAAACAACGCAATACAATATAAAGTTTGAGAGAATAATTTGTACACTGCATTGTGTTTTTGAAGTTCCATTCGTTTTGCTACAATCAAGAGTTACAATAGATCCAAAAAAGGGAAAGCCTATTTATTTCCTTACATTCCAAAAAGGAGGATTTGGGATGCTATTTAAAATTTGCTGAAGATTGACAAATTAACTGTTAACTGCATTGTTAGAGAACATAGAATGGTACATGATTTTCGGGCTTGTATAGGCCTATATTAGGCCTATGTACTCTAGGTGTAAATAAATACAAAGAATAGACCAATTTTAGTGAGAACAAAATATGTTTTAATAACGTAGGGCCTATATACAATGCAAAGCAGATTGATCACAAAATCAGAAGCATGATCTCAAACATCAGAATCAGCTTTTATTGTTTAAAACTGTTGGGGCCTCATTGAATGAAACTACGGTTTTATAGTTTATATTATATATTTTTTAAACTACATTGTCGGGGGCCCCTTCCCCCTTCCTCAGCACCAAATCGCAACACCACTGATTGTACTAACTCTTGATTGTAGCAAACCCAAAACGAACGGCACTTCAGAAAATACAGTACAAGTATACCAATTATTCTCGCAAACTTCATATACTATCGTTTTGATACATTTGACATTGAATTTTGCAATTACATTTTGACTTTTGCTGTGTATGGCACTCCATATTACTAACACCAAAAGAACATAAAACCCAATGTCACCTCAGTTAAACATAAACATACCATGCTCATGCTGTGTGCAGTCTTTATAGAGGCTGATGTGTTTGTAATATATAGCACTATAGACCTACAGTAGTAATATGTTATTTTCAACATTAATTTTACCGATGATGAGGTGGTGTATGGTGGTTCATGAGACTCACTTTGCTGAACAAATACAGTACATACATTTTCTGTATCGACTCAAATGTTAGTTTCGTGCACCTTAGTCCAACGTTGTCAAAATAACGGTTTAATGTTATTTAAGAATGTGTATCTTTAAAATTAACAATTGAAAATTTTCATTTGCTCCATTTTTTTCATTTTGTTCATCAATTTCCACAAATCAAATGGTATATATAGAAGTACTTCACTGGCTCCTTGTGAAAAGAAATCTGATGTAACAAAACAGTGCCTAAAATTGATAAATACATTTTTTGCATACATTTTTATTTAAAAAATCCACAATACAAATAAAAAATTAAATTCTTTTCACAAAAAAAATTCTTTCAGTAAATATTGACTGTAGATAAAATATATAGTAAGATATAAAGCTACTGTGTGAAATTGTTTTGTTATTTTTTATGAATCTGTAATAATGTTTTATATATTTTTTTTCCCCAGGAATTCAGCTTCAAAGTAAGTTATTTTTAATTTAATATTCTTTTAATTGCATGTAACTTTTATGTTGCTGTCAAAATTAGCAGTTTGATGACATAAATGACAAAAAAAATAAAATTACAATACATTCCATTGCCTGCGGCGCTAGGAATTCCCCGACTGCAGCGCAAGAGTTTAATTATGCCACATATCGTCATCAGAGAGCCGTAGGCCTGAGGAAGAAGGGTGAAGCTGTTGGGTTTGATGATAAACCGCTAGATTCTCTTCACCTAAGGAAGCAGTGTGTTTAGTAGGCCTGAATTTTGAAATATGATCACGCATAGATTTTCCAAATGCATGTTTCGTAGAAACTGAGACAAGATGAAAAATGATTTTGAAATGCGAGACCGTCCTTCGCAAATTCGCAGTGCTAGGCAGCTGGTAAGGTAACTGCGTTACACGATTGTATTGCGTTGCATGTCATCATCATCATCCTGCTGATCAAAATAGACATCTAAAAAAAGCTTCCGCCATTCTATGTTATTGTAAGCCTATTTATTATAGACAATGAAGTTATTCCCTGGTACATATTCTTTAACCCGGGCATTGTAGATCTACAATTTACCATCCAGGATTCCAGATAACAGCATACTAAAAACAAAACACTAATCATACAAACCAGGCATCAGATAATATTTGGCCTAATATTTAATAAATCAAGATAGTTCCTTAAATTCAAGAAAGGAATTTAAATATATATATACATTATCGACCTATATTATACCCTGCAGTATTTTATAAGTAATTGTTGAAATTAAAATTAAAATACTGTTTGTCTGTTGTTCAGAACAGAGCAACAATGCAAGATGAACGGAATAATGAAGAGAAGTAGCCTGCTCTACTGTAACTGTAACTTCAAAAGTAACGTGTTGACTGGTAGTGTGAAAATAGTAATGCACATTATTGTTACTTTAGACTATCTGGTGCTGTACCATTTTAACTTTGTAGTAAATAAATAAACAATGATGCAGTATGAGTAAGCATTATAGTGAGACTACCATGAAATAGAAATACATAGTCAATCATTTAGGTATGAAAAATATCTACAGTATATACTGAACATGGTCAATTTAAAAGGTGATACTATAATAATAATACTATAATAGATTAGGTCTATGTCGTTGCCATAGCGTAATCCTGGAGTGAGGATATCGTGTCTTAAAGCGATCGACTGCTTGGTCCATGTTTTAAGTTTTGAACCTTGAAATTGGTGGATTCCAAGTGTCATGAGTGAATCTAATCACAATTCTATAC